TGTCTTCTTTTGGGAGAGTGTCTTATTCCAGATGGGTTGAGCATTAATATCCCCCTGTATTCCCCCTGTCCTTCTCCACACAGAATAAAATATCTGTGTTTTCTTCTGGCTACATAGACCTTCATAGAACAGCAGAAGGAAATGGTGCAAATCAGAGAAGAAAAAGAACATAAAAAACAATCAAGAGAGGGACGATTTTAGAAGAGATTTGCAAAAAGTGGAAAACAGGAATGGAATAGTGATAGAAACAGACCGTGTAGTCAGCAGGACATTGAGTGAAGATTTTCACTTGAGTACCTACAGATCAGCAGAAAGGTCTATTCTTTGAGCAGACAGGCGGGTGAAAGGAACTTGTAGAGAAAAGTGTGTGAGATCAGAAGACTGTCCATGAAAACAATGAGCAACATTTTGACTTGAGTCGTCCCAAATGAAAGTCAGTGAGATACTGTGGCTTTAGAACATCAGCTTACATATACTCCCAGTTTTGTTAATTGCCAGCAAGGGGAGAGCTTGGATTTGGGGTATACTTTTTCAAGGACTGTTTTCTTCCTCAACAGGAAAGAAAAATTGAACTGTTTCCAATTAGGCCATTTGCCTAATGTATGCAGCAATTGCACAGATGACAACCTAACTCCTAAATACTATACATGACGACAGAGAACCAGCCTTTCTGCGGTAGTAGTAACAGAAGATCTCCTAAATTTAAAATGAAGTCATTGTGCGGGTGCCTCCTTTTCACCTCAGCTGGATGTTGAATTCAGCAAGTCAACTTTGTATAAGGCGTCTATTTAAGGAGAGGCAAGGAATCTTAACCTGTCCCTTTGGAGATAGAAGAAGTCATAGGAAGTTCATCTTTCTCAAAACGAAGATTCTTTTGTCGATCCTTTAGTCAGACACAGTACGTAGTAGTACCATACACAATCCGAACTTAAGGGCAGTCACAAGCCTGTTCTATTCTGATGGAGTTTCAGAAATTATTTCTTAATTCCCAGCTGCTTACAGCAACATAGGATGAAAGCCATGTCTTTGAATTTAGTGGAATTGCATGCCATTGAAGCTGGCACATGAAGAAAACCAACCTCACAAATTCTGAAAATTAGAAGTAAACTCAGATCTTCCCGTCCCATTTCACCATGAGCATCTAAGAGCAGCAGGAAAGTTTGAGCTGTGCTGATTCCATTCTCCACTATCCATTACTGCATGCTGCATCCACTCTGCACCCTATGTATGTTACTCACTTAGAATGTCGACTTCTGTCTCTTGATTAATCCATAATCCTTACATATTTAGAGAACTCTAGCTCAGAAGTTGATGTCATTGGGGCTTTCTTTTTTTATACCAGATGCACTCAACTTCAGGATTTCCTGGTTCTGGAGTGGACTCAGAAGTAGAGGAAACTAATCAGGAGGACGTAGCTTTGGAAAGACTAAGGAAAACACAAAAACCCATCTCTGCCTACTGAGACAGGACTAAGAATGGCAACACTAGTGGCTGCTCCTCTACCATCTCCAAAGTTGGAGGAAAGAGAGGTGCTTTCTGTTTTGAGCAGTAATTTGGGTCATTTGAGTCTATTGAATATAGATCACATTTCAGGGCACTAAATAATAATTCCTTGAACAATGATTTTTTTTTCCTCTTGTGCAGTACTGCATAGTTGGGTAGATACCAGCATATCAGTAGCTCGCTACCGTTGAATTTCTTTTGGAAATTGGGATTTGTGCCAAATTATATCCAACAATGTGTCTCTCTCTTCCACTTCTGTCACTGTCAATGAAAAAATAGTCAGTGGAGTGACTTCAGCATAAAACCAGTGAGAGGGAACTTTAGCCTGTGATCTCTAAGTTTCTGTAGCATGCAGTTCCAGTCAGTTTCCAGGGAACACCAAAAGTTCATCCACACCTGCAGAGTTAAAGGCTGTCCAAGAAATGCAGGAAGGATACCCATCCAAGTGCCATCTGTTGGTCGTTTACTGCGTAGCTTCAGTGGATGTAACCATAGATTTTCTGAGTGCCTGAACCAAGCACAGGTGCTGTGTCCTAAAACTTTTTTTTTTTTTTTCCTAGATGCAAACATGTGCTTCAGTACCTCACTCAGGAAGGAGAACTCCACAAGAGAGTTTCTTCCAGGTCCAGTTTCTTCAGACACTCCAGTGTAGTTTACCTTACCTTTCTTATAATCTTCAAGAATAGACAAGCCTTCTGATTAATGGTTCAGGACAAGCATAGACATGTGAAAAGTCTTACATTGCTTTGTGAAAAATAATCTTTTCTTTTCTTTCTTTCTTAAAGGATAAAGCGAATAATTGCCAATGAGAAAATGTGTCCTAAGTGAAGTAGTCCATACCCTAGCTCACACCCTCTAACCTCTTTAGGAAGAGTCATTTGAGTTAGAGAAAGCAGCTAAGCATCTCTTTCTTCTTGTATCACTGGGTTTCCAATGCAGGCAGCAATTGCCCCAGGCCCTATACTCCGAGACTCACACTCTGTGTTGAGGTCACAGATTCCCAGCAAGTCTGTCTCGTATCTTCTTGAGTCAGCTTGTGTCCAGGATATTAGGTTTGTCTGGAGTACTGTCTTCATGTAGCAACCCTCTATTGGAAGTTTTGCACTATGCCTTTAAAGGGACAGACCCATTACATCTTCAGGCCAACTTCAAAAACAGAGAGACATAAAGGATCAGCCATTCAAAACTGGGTTGGGAACAATACAGACAAAACCTCCATACCTTACTACAGAATTTCTGAAGTGTTCAGTGCTAAATCATTGGAAAAGTTTATTGAAATTGTAAGTTTATTGTCTCTTTTAGAAGATAAAGACTTCCTGATGGCACTGAGGTCTGCAAGTTTCTTATATACTATCTGACGAGTGGTTTATCTTAATGCTGCTACTGTGGTTCTAGAAATACTTCCACGTGGCAGGAGGTGGAGCTGGTGTTTCAGCAGGTGGGCAGTCTTTACCCTCTGCTGTTTCTGAACCAGCACCCTCTTCACTGATGAGTAAGATGCTGTTGCAGACATCATTGTGTGCAGTTCTGGGCTCTTCATTACAAGAGTAACTTCTAGAGAGGGTCCAGTGCAGAGCTACAAAGGTGATTAACAGACTAGATTGACCTAAGATTAACATCTATCTTATGAGGAAATCCTAGAGAAGAGACAATTGAGAGGGGATCTTATCAACATGTACAAATACCTGCGGGGAAGATGTAAAGAGGATGGGGCCAAACTCTTCTCAGTGGTGGCCAGCGATAGGACAAATAGTTATGGGAACAAATTGAAACACAGGAAATTTCATATCCATATGAGGAAGAACTTCTTTACTGTGAGGGTGACAGAGCACTGGAACAGGCTGTCCAGAGAGGTTGTGCATCTTCTTTTGGAATACTCTAAATCTGCCTGGATGTGAACTTGTGCAATGTGTCCTAGGTGTCCCTGTTTGAGCAAAGGGGTTGGACTAGAAGATCTCTAGAGGTCCCTTCCAACTTCAGCCATTCTGTGATTCTGTGTGTATCAGAAAAAATGTAAATCTCAGACCTAGCCCACACAACCTCAAGTTTACTAAAGAGTCTGTGACACTTGCCTGGTATGGAAGGAGAATTAGCTGGGATGGTTTTATTACATTTTAACACAGATTACTACTTTTTGTTTACCTAAGTTTTTCTTGAAGCTAGAAAGCTAGAAGTCTTTTTTTTTTTTTTTTTTTTTCTTGTAAAGGGCAGGTAGTATATATAAATAGCTGTTTTGTCCCTTCATTTGGAAGCCTGTATTTAAGTGATCAATGAGTACATGTTATGTACTCAACATGTTATTTTTGTACCATCTTTGAAATTTACAGAGCTCTACTTAACATGTTATTTTTGTACCATCTTTGAAATTTACAGAGCTCTACTTAATTCTCTTTTACTGAGTGTTCCGAATCAATTTATTGCTGTCGGTCATTTATTTAATACCAATGTCAATTTGTTATAAATCAGATTCGAAACATGAAGATAGTGCTTTGCAGAATGCATTGTGAATTATTTTGTTGCAGTGTTGGCATGCATCCTGGTGTAAAATAACATAGCTATTTAGCAAAATTTCAACTTAGCCCTATCATATGAGCAAGGATCTTACATGTATCATACCTACTCAACAGGTACATGAGATATTCTTGGCAAAAAGCAATGATCATCGGGTGTGATGTGCCAGGCTGGACTTTTAAACTAGTTCAACTTCACTTTTTGTGTGTGTGTGTGTGTGTGTTTGCTTATTTGCTGTGCAAGTGTTACTCTTCACCACCATAAAGAGAAATGGTTGTCTCATATGGTCTTTTATGTAGTTTGCTTCAGTTGCTTTCCTTGGTAACATGTTCCATATGTTTACAATCTCCTCCTTTTGCCCTCCTCCTTTGCAGCCTAGGGCATATTCCTCACCAAAAGCTGAATGATTATTTTCTGAGGAAATGTTATTGTTCCAAAAAAAGATATTACTGGAGAAAATAAAACATATTTCCAAAGTAGTTCTGCCAAACAGTGAAATAAAAAATGCTCATTATTTTTGATGACAGGGATATTAAAAGGAAAAAAAATGTGTTATTCAAAAATAACCACCTCTGCAATAGTAGTGTGGGAGGATGTTCAATTACATGGAATGTAGTTTTTCAGTGAGCCCATCTAATCTTGTATTGAAGATATGGATTCAATTATTTTTTTTCATTTATATTTTCTTCATCTACATTTTATGCTCCATTCCCAGCATTGTGGTGATGTTTGTTACTATTTATGTTGTTGCGGGTCTTTTTTTCAGCTGTTTCTAAAGCTTTACAAAAATGCCAGATGTCATGGTGGAAACTCAAAGCCTCACATCAGGTCATAAATTATAACAAACCATTAAGAAAAAATATATATATAATAAAAGGCCACTGTACCATTCTTTAGACCTCCTCTTGCTGGCTTTCTTCTTCCCTCCCTTTTCCACTCTCAGCAGGTAGAACTAAAGTGTCTAACCTGGTATGTTTGCTTTGCAGACTCAGAGCAGAGTACTGGGTCAGACACAGAGGTACTGGCAGAAAGGACATCCTGCTCATTTGGCTCCCATTCTGACCTTACATCTGGTGGCTCGGGTCCTCAACCTCCTCCTCCTTCATCCATGGAAGAGATCCAGGTAGAGTTGCAATGTGCTGACCTCTGGAAAAGATTCCATGATATTGGGACAGAGATGATTATCACTAAAGCAGGCAGGTAAGATATCTCTTAATTTTTGTCTAGTTAAAGAAAAAAAAAAACTAAATCAAAATCTTTTGGAGAATAAAGAAGCTTTTTTGATAAGCTTAAGGAATAAATATATGGGAAATAGTAATTGGTTGTCAGAGTTTCACAACTTCATCTTCCACCAGCTTTTTTAGAATAAATGGAATTGTTCACTTTTAAATCAGTGACTCCAAAGAAGAAATGGCAGATGTAGGAAGTAGTTAAGGATGGTCTTTCCTTTGAGCAAATAATTGGGAAATGAATGTTGTGTTGCTGGCTGCACTGAATTTAAGAAGAGTTAAAACCTGGGGGATGAACCATTTGAGTTTCCTTTCAAGTTCCCATAGCACTTCATAAAGTAGTTCATTTAATCTCATATCTAGCCAAATTCAAGCTCACCTCTGTGCCAAACTTCTGTCTTCCTGCAAACCTAGATGGATACAATACTGATGACTTCCTGTATCAAAACTGTGCAGGCTTAATGTTTCCGAACACTATTGAATTGATTCCATGTTAGTTGTGGTTAGGGAGAGGCAATAATAGTCCAGAAGTTTTAAAAAAGAAAAACTCACTCTGCCATCCTGTTAACTATAGGATAACAGATTTCCATTATTAGTTCACTATCAAAGGAATAGCTAGAAAGTTGTAATCCAAAATACAACTTGAAACTATCTGTACATTTATCAGTCCTTCAAGCTATAAGCTATCCCAGATGTTTAGATATGTCTTCATTAAGATAATATTTTCCATATCCACTTAATGATGTTTTAATTCCAATTAATCTTATTAAAGAGAAGTCAGTACCATGGACAGAGCTGATCAGCTTGAACAGATCCATTTGCCTATCTCAGGAACCGTTCTGTCCCTTTTCAGAAATACGAATTGGAGCTTTTCCAAAGTTTTAGCCAAAATCCACACTTTTTCTTTTTTTTATATATACTTTTGTTTCATGTCTGTGCTCTCAGAGCCTGCCAGAAAAACTGGACTGTTGTTTTATATTTTTCTACTCACCACCGTTCTCTAGCCCACAAAGTTCAGATAATTTGAGGAAAGTTATCTTGGACAAACAACTCAGATGATTCCTGAGGGACATTATAAGAAAGAAATTGTCTCTTGGGTTGAGCTGTACAGTCTCATCAACACACAAGAATCTTGCATCAATACAGAAGAGGCTGTTGTAAATGCCATTATGTCGCAAATGAAAGAGGCAGAGTAATAGAAATAATACGTTTTCTCTTAGAGGTATCAAAAAGACACAAAGAAAATGATTATTATGGCCAGTTCATATGAAGTGATTTGTCCAGCCTCAGGAAATATGATACTGGAAGAATCAAGTTCATTGTCCTAGTGCCTGATCCATGCTGTCTATGAGAATAAAAAAAGAAGATACATTTTTAGATGTTGAATTAATTTCAGTTAATTCTCTTACAATAAATGGAATATATAGACTTAACAGCTGTACAAATATCTCTAAGTTCACCAAAACTAGTGCACAACAAATGCCCAGAACTTAATGGCATAATATGGAGATGACTTCAGCAGTTCACACATTTCTAAATGAAATAACTGTCCCTTCTGAAAGCTTAAAAAGCCATACCATGATCACAGGCCTTTTAGAAAAAGGTCACTCAACAAGTTACAACATCAATGCTATGGCAGTTTTACAAACTGTTTAACATATCTTCTCACAAAACCTTGAGAGCAATGACAGAGGCTCTGGAGAAGGAGGGGCTAATGAAAAAAAGACATTGAAGTATTCTAGGGGAGAGATAACATAAAGAAATGAAATATTTGTTATCAGGTGAAAAAATGGAAAGTTTCTATTTGGTAAAATCGATCCACACATCCAAAAACAGATTTTGTTTTTCCTTTAAAAGTTTTTAGAAAATGACAATATTGAAGAATTATCTATTGTAAAAATACTATTTTGCTGAAAATTTTAATCTGTTTTTTTGAGCTACAAATTATTAATTTGTTGTTTAGAACTGTCTGCAATATATACTTTGACAGTTTTGTTATAAAACTACTGTTCTGGCACATATGAATTGAAAAGCTTAACACTGGCGATGGTTCATGGATTTGCCATTCATGTTGCCTTTCTGTTTGATGAATAGGTCCTCCCACATTGCATATCATTATAACAAATAATCAATATATCTTCCTAATTGCACAGTAATATCAGGAAACTGAGTAAGAATTACTGTGACTTGTACTTTGTTCCTTCCAGAAGGGAGAATGTGGGAACATAATGCAGCTGGATTACAATATCATTGAAGCACCATGCCAGGAAAAATGAGCCCCAAATGGTGAAGAAGCAACCCAAAATGAAAAACTCGGATTCACTTCCCCAGCCTGAAATCCTTCTGTTTGCTAAATTCTAGCCCTAAGTTAAATATTTGGTTTTGATATTCTTAGTTTTGACTCAAAGATTTGGGTTCTCGAGTGTTTTTTTTTTTTTTTTTTGGTTCTCAAGAGTTTGTTTCTTTATGCTGTATGCTCCAGGAAAAACCTTGGTTTGCCTACATTTTCCAGTGAAATATCACAATCCCTATTTCAGCCAGCTGTCAGAAGTGTTTAACAGCTCATGCTAAGAAAGACAAGGGAACCAAACTCTGTTTTAAATAGCTCAATACCAATGTATTCAGGCAGTTTCAAGCAAGGAATAGACATCGGGAAATTTGTAAGAATTTTAAGGAATATTTCACTATTAGAGTTTTCTTTCTCTAACATTATTACCAGCATTCTCAAATGCCTTTGCAAGGTCCCTCCTTGATAATTTTTCCACATTAAAAAAAAGGACAGCAATACAGAAAAGTAGTGTACTGAGCAAATTGTATGTTCTTTATAGGCCTAAAACATATTCTTTCTCCCCGAAAGGATATGCTTATCATTACATGAATCCTAATGGTCAATGGCTGCACATACAAAATCTATTAATCTAGCATTTTTTTTTCTGATTTTTATGATACCTTCAAAGTGATATTAACAATATTGAATGGGATTTTCCCCTCTCATTATGATTGTGGGTTAGCCATTGCAAAATGTAATGAAGATTTGGGCATTTGCTTATGTGGTATATCTGTTTATTAGGGGGTTAGATAGCTAACCTCTCTGATTATTAATCTCTCTCAGTAAGCATTCTTCCTGTATAGAGGGTGTGTCTGTGATGGGTGAGATGGATGAGAGTTGAGTCTGGCATCCTGTTTTTTCATAGTGGATGCATGATATATGAAGTATCCCATAGATTAGACTCCTGAAAAGCCACAGTATGCTCTTCGGCAAGAGACTGCAACAGTGATTTTGTTGCAAAGCTCTGTTAGTGCTGAAGTCACCCAGGGAGAAGACTTCTCAGAATGAGGGCTGGGAGGCTAGCAATCTGCTGCTGCTTTGCAGTCCTGTCCCAGTAGACCAGATATGCCTGCTCCAGGGTCCAAAAAAATATATGCACCTTTGTGTGGAGCAGTTGAGAAGATCTGTTGAGCTCCCTCTCCCTTGTAAACAATAAACACTGTAACTCCCAAACCCTCATTCAGCCTTTCCTTTCAAAGGAAACATCTCTACATAATCCCGTGCAGCAGAAATAAACAGGAGGGTGTTCCTGGTTCCCCTTCCCTAGTGTCCCTCACCTCCATTCCTCACAGGTTATTTTAATAAGTAAATATATACCTGGCACAAGTCTTCAAGGCAAGGAAGTATAAGTTATAAAATACTCCTGATAACTTCAGGCTACTCTGTGAACTCATGTGCATTGTAAACACTGTGCACAATTAATCCTCAAACCTTTCAGTATTTTGTGGAGTTTCTCATTTAGATATTTTGTGACCCTGGTAGGTGACTAATCTTTCCATTACTGTCAATAGAACCGTGCTATTTGGGTTGTATTAAAATGGTTCACATCTTGACACACTCTTAATTTTAGGATTTGCCTTTAGGTATCATCTTTAAGTAAACATAATCCAATTTGAACCGTATGTATATCATTACACAGTATAGTTGTGAAAACTGCATGATAAATCATGTCAGTCCTTTAAATTCTCATTTGACTTCTGTTCACTGACCTGTCGGTACAAGGACTATTTCCAATTTCTGAGCAGTTTTGAGAAATTATTGCTGTGTTTTGGAATAACCTGCCAGGTAGCTATTTACTTCTTATCATAGGATCATAGGATCATTAAGGTTGGAAGGGACCTTTAGAGATCATCTAGACCCCTAACAGGGAATTTCCCTCTTTAAAATTGAGCTTAGAAACAGAATAAATTTATACTGGAAAGGACCATTAGAGGTCATCTGGTTCATGCCTTTACTCAGAGCCGGGCCAGCTTCGAAGGTAGATTCAACCTGAGGCAAACCTCACATGCTGGTTCAAGAGGCCGAAAAGAGAGCTGATGCCTTGGGAATCCTAAGGGTTATAAACTAGAGCTTTAGTAGATTGGAAAATAAAAAGCATGTTACGGGTATTACTCTGTTACTCCATCTCTGAAGGGATAGACTGAGGTAGACAGTTGCTACAAAAATACTTCTAAAGAGACTTCTGAGTGATCCTAAAATAATTGTAATAGCTTACTTCATATTGTATTTCCCCTAACAGGAAATTATATATGTGCACATGGACTTCCAATGTGTCTAGCAAGACTTTTCTCCTGCTGAGTGATAAAGCTATCATATAAATAACCTGATCTTCCCAAACTGTTGTTGACATAAAACCTTCTACTAAACTATATCCAATGTCATCATGTGTTCCCTATCCAGAGAGGCTTTGTGTCTGCAACAGTTGACTGAAAACCCAGTTGACACCTTCCTAGATAAAAGGTTTATTAATACTGTTTATTGATACAGCAAAATGGAAATGGCCTGAATTCCACCCAAACTTTTAAGCCTGGGGTTTTCCTATGATGTAAGTGCCTCTGGGGGAAAAGAGGCAGCTGACACAAAGCATAGGAACTTAATCAAAATTTCACCTGTATATGTCTCTAACTTGCTATTTTTTATCTCCACCTTTTCCATTTTCTACTTTTAATACTCTAGCGATACTGCTGGAGGCCACTGTGATACTCGCAGGCAGCATCAGTATGTCAAAGAAATTTGACACACATAGAAAAAGAAAACAGCAGTATTTTACAGACTTTGAAAATACACTTAAATCTTAGAGGAAGCAGTGGGATCAGCTGCATTCTCTTCAATTATTTTAGAGATTAGCTTCTAAGCCTGTTGAATGGTCTGTGGTAATCTTTTACAAGGTATTTCATAAGCAAATGACCCATGGGCTATACTGCCCATGTACACTGGGTTGTAGTTTTAGAGAGAGCTCCTTGGAACACACACCACATTTGATTTTCCTAATACAGTGCACAGACTTAGACTCAAAGAGACTAATATTTAATCCTGGATTTCTCATCAACCTTCTGAAACTTGACCTACCTCTCAAGTTGCTCCCAAGCCACCTTCAATTAAGGGGAGGTGGATTGTAAAATGCCACATCTTGTACCCATTTATCTTGGCAGATTTAACGATCCATTATGGCAGAAACAAGGTAATACCCTCAAACCACCAAAGACTAATCCGTTATTCCTTTTTTTATTATTTTCTCCCAGGTTGCTCAACTAGCAAACTCATGCTATCAGTTGCAGAAATCTACTTACTCATTGGAGGGTTTCTGCAGACAATTTTTCTGACAGTTCTATGTCTCTCATAACTCTAGTTAGCTGTGCTCTGGCAGATGTGGAGTGATGTTCTCCCCACCCACAAGATGAATGCCCTTTTCCAAGAGCAATTCAATTACTAATAGATCAGATATTTTTCTCTCAATGCAATGAAAAGGCAGAGTTGTAGCTAGGCAGAATGTTGAGCTGTGACCACCTCCTTTGTATGACCCGTATCAGAAAGAATAAAATAAGTTATGGTTGCATCTTTTTGATGCTGCTTTTTAGAGATGTTTGGAGACATCATATAAATATTATATTTTCTTCTTTCTCCAGGCAGTTTCCAGTGGTAATACTCTGAGACAGACAAATGCTGGGAGGATTTGATTAAAAAAAAAAAAGTCATAGCATCTCCTCCCTAACAGAATCAAACTAGAAAGGTCAAGCATAATGTATATTGCCCACCTGTGTATTGAAAAAACAAGAAAAAAAGCTTACTGTAAGGACAATTTTTGTCTTCTAGGAGTCTGGAACAGACAGAATACTTGTCTGAGAGTGTTTTATTGTTATCTACAGGTTGTTAATGAGTTATCCCTCTTTTTAAGTGGAAAAAAAATCAGAAGATTTGCACTGCTGTGAGCACAGTCCTTACTACCAGACCCAATTCAGAGAAGTCATATCAAGAAGTGCATTATTTAAAGTAACCTGCTTCCCATGTCATAGGAACCTCCTCAGCTTTCTTACAATTTTATTCCTTATTTCTATTCTTTTCTAGGAGAATGTTTCCAGCCATGAGAGTGAAAATTACAGGCTTGGATCCCCACCAGCAGTATTATATTGCCATGGATATTGTGCCTGTGGATAACAAGAGATACAGGTAAGTTTTTTGGGTGAAGAACTAGAAACATCAAGATATCTCAGTGTCAGTGAAAGCCTAGAAAAATACACATACCGTTATACAGTATTCCAAAGATATCCTGGGGGAGACTGGAGAAATCCCCAAGAGGACAATACTGAAATAACCTCTCTGGCAGCAACCAAAATCTATTGGTTTACACCATTAATTGCCTTGACCATAAGAACGAATTCTGTCTTAACGAATCTCCACCACTGAACTGAAGAACAGGAAGAAAAGCTTTCTCTAGTATTAATGGTCTCTTGATCCTAAAAATATTCTGGAAAACTAATGGTCCTCTGAATCCTAAAATACAATCCAGCCAGGGGAAATTTATCTGTACCCTTTAAAAGACACCTGAGAGAAAGTATTTTCCATAAATAGCCTTGCACTCAAGGCTATTTCAAGGATTCAATAATTGATCATCTGCTAAATATTAGATTTTTTTTTCTCAGATCATACAGGGTAATCCTCAGGAACATCCTTTTCATGGAAGCAGCAAAATTGTACCTGATACTCAGCTACTTGTTTTATTCCTTGCTTTGAGTATGGCTCTGACAGCATTAAAGTTGAAAATTAGTATGCTGTCTGAGAATTTGATTCTGTCCTTGTTATTTTGTGCAGCCACATATAACAAATTAGCACTAAAAGGCATAGTGCTAATTCTTGAAAAGAATATTAAAGAATTAAAATTATTCATCTCTATTAAAGGAATATTTATTTATTTATTTATTTGAAAGTACAGGAAATGAGTCATCAGTTGTAGTTAAGGACTGAGATTATTTAACAGAGCTGAGTAGAGATTGAAAGGGCAACACACCAGAAGGACAGCACAGAGCAGGACTCAGAAGGCTCAGAAAGTCTGTTCATGAGGTGCCTGAGGTTGAAGGAGCTGAAGGAGAGGAAGATAGAAAGTGTTCAGGTAGATCTGTAGTAGGAAAATTTATAGCATATATAGAATGGCCAGTTTGGGAATGCAAAAGATCATTTACATTTTTTCCCTCTAATCTTAGCATCTGCAATATTAAGTGGATTTCCCTATTTTGCAACTTTTTAAAACAGAAAATCTATTTTATTAAAGATTCTGGTACATTGGATTTTGCCATTTCTGGGGGAATGTACATGTGTTTTGTACCAATGCAGATACAATGCAGTTTTCTAGAAATTACAAAAAGTTTGGTAATATTTTCAGAGAGGACTTTGTTTACTAGCATTTCCTAGCCTGTTACTCCAGCTCAGAGAGAGTTAAGGAGCTGAGAAGGCACATGTGGCAGAGTTTTACAGGGAAAATAACTACAAAGGTGGTTTTAATAAGGAACCAAGCAAGTGGCTCAGAGGTAATCTGGTTTTTATTCAGAAGGCAGGAGGTTGCAATAAAGCATGTTCCCCTTCGACTGCAAATGAGAGCTTGGGGTGTGGGTAGTAGGGTAGCTGGGAAGGGAAATGGAGATGTTCTTCTGGTGGATGGGTAGTAACATTTTCTTAGTCTTTTCCTCTTTCTTTTTCAGATACGTTTATCACAGCTCCAAGTGGATGGTGGCTGGCAATGCTGATTCACCAGTGCCCCCAAGGGTTTACATCCACCCTGACTCACTGGCTTCTGGAGACACCTGGATGAGGCAGGTGGTCAGTTTTGACAAGCTCAAACTGACCAACAATGAGCTTGATGATCAAGGCCATGTAAGTTAGAGTGCATAGTGCCTGCTACCCCAAGCAACTCCTGTCAGACACAAAGGAGTCCCTTGTCCTGCCAGAAAGGTGTGCCTGTAGCCTCTCTCCAGAGAGTACTAGAGTTTCCTTCCCTACTTCGGTACTTTTTCTCAAGATGTTCCTGGCCCTATAAAACAGTAAAGACCTTTTTTTCCCTTTGATACTTTGACATGGCATGTACATGTAGGAAGAGCTTGGTCTCACACTGACTTGTGCGTGTTAAGAAGAATTTTATTCCCATAAGCCTTTACTTCATCTTTGCTCCCTTGTAATACTTTTGGGTGTAGCACAGAATTTTTTTGGGGAAAAGAAAATCCTTCTCCTTTTTTTTCCCTCTTCAGATAATATTACACTCAATGCATAAGTACCAGCCCCGTGTTCACATCATCCGTAAGGATTTCAGCAGTGACCTTTCTCCAACAAAACCAGTTCCTTCAGGTGATGGGGTAAAAACCTTCAACTTCCCAGAGACTGTCTTTACCACAGTGACAGCCTATCAAAATCAACAGGTAAAACTGCATGCTGGGTGCCTCCAAGCTTCTTTTATGTCTGGTCTTTATATGAAAAGAAAGGAAAAGAAATCTGTGTTGTTTGTGTTTGTAGGTCATTAACTTACAGACATTACAAACTTAATTACTTAATTACAATTACTTACAAACTTAAGTCATTAACTTACAAGGAATATGTGCACACTGTATTTTGCTGCGCAAAAAGAAAATATTTACTATGGGGCAGTGTATAGACATGAAATATCTAGCCATAGAATAATTTTGGAGGCAAGGTGCATGTAAAGCAGCTAGATGAGACTGACCACAAGCAGATGTATAGTGTTTCTTTTGACTGTAGTGTCCTGTGTCCATCAAATTTTTACAGCAGTATAATGAATTTGTTCTTTAACAATTTGTTTTTAACAGAGAAAATGATGTTATTTAACAGAGAAAATTTATTTTTTAAAGCAGTGAATATTTTTCTCTTAGAAAACTGAAATGAAATCAGTTTATTGAAAAAAGAAATATTTGAGCATAAAAAGTAATCCATATCTTGTACATTAATTACCATTCTCATGCATATATCACCTTTAATTCAGATCCTGCAATTTCCAGGGCTACTATTGATTCCAGGTACCATAAGGGAAAAGATGTTGCCACCACGTTTGATTATAGAGTTCGCTGTCTATCTCTGTCTACCCAAATAATCTGTAATAGGAAAATAATTGCTAGGGCAAAAAAAAAAAAAAAAAAAAAAAAAAAGTAAGAATGGACACATCTGAGGCACTAGCAGAAAAATGAAGTTCTTGAAGAACTGGGACATGAATTGCATGCATTTGCTTATCCTTTTGTGACCTGTGAAAGATGGTATTCTGGTCCTCAAAGGAAGAGGTTGCCTGCTTCGTTGCTTCTGTAGGCCCTGTTCACTGCATATGCATCAAATACACCCAAGTACCCACCCATTCCTTATGTAGCCTCCCTGAATACTATTCACCTTCCAGTTGTCCTGCTTCAGGGATTCCTAGTAACATTCACACTATTTTTGTCACACTTTTGGTTCAATATGCTCTTTTTCTCTGGCGTAAATACGCACTCGGTTGTTCTCAGGCAAAACGTGCTGTGCACATTCCATTCCTCTTTCCTCCCTTTCTTCTCCTTATTGGAGAGTTTTGCATTGGCATCAGGAGCGCTCTGTAAGGTAGTTTTATCACAGCCATGTGAAACAGAATCCTAGCTGTTAAAACTTTATGTTGTGTTAGTAATGTGGTGTCAAATTATATAGCATATGGAACTGCTGCATGCAAAATGATGGCATAAACAAGCTTGAAAGTTGAAACCTGACAGATATTGTTGTCAATTGCTACAAGAAAAAAAACTACATTAAATCATTTTCTGCTGTAAATTTTTGAGGAATCTTGAACTGAAAATGGCGAGGCAATGCATTTCTCCAGGACATCAGCTGAGCTTGTGGAGAGGTACCACAAAATCTAGCTAGAATATCATTATATTCAGTATTATTGGACTGAGTGACAGTACCATATCAAGATGGCTCAGGACAGATTGTCATGTTTAGCCAGTGAAGTGTTATAATGTTTTTGTATCACAAAAACAAAATCTTTGATTCTTTATAGAAAATAAAAAGAGTCTTTTTCTATTTGTGAATAATGTACAATCTTGCTGCAGTTTCTCATCATCTAAAATTTGTTGAGAAATCAAAGGGAGACAAAATAGAGGACTGAGAAAAGCTCAGAATTCACATAATTTCCCCTCTTTCTTCCCTAGCTATCCTTCCCCTTTTATAAATTGTTATCCTGGAGTCTTTCCTCAAATCTCTTCCTCTTGCTCGTGTTTTTTAGAAGACTCCCTCTTACATGGTGGTGTGCATCACATCTATGTTTGTTACCTAGAAAGGTTAGATCTAAGACTATGGTTTTCTTTGATATGCACACCTTTAAATTATTTTCTTTGGAATTGCAGGCGAATGTACATTGAATGCAAGTTACAAGCAATGGACAGCTTTTCCTAAGCTTTTCTTAGTTAACTTGCATGAATTTTTTAAAGGACTGGCAAGTTCATCAAGCATAAATGGAAAACTTCTGGATTACTTAGTGGATAAGCATCTAGAGAGATATATACTGGTGGATATTTGGAATAGTAGCGCCGGGAAAGGGACAGGAGGGAAAAAGGCTCAGTCCTTTACTTTTTTAAGTAGATCCGAGGCTGTGGGTTGTCTTTTAAATATGTTTTTGGAAGTTCAGTGTTCAAATCCTGGCCAGGCAAATTATTTCTGACAGAGTTCTGTGGCTCCCGATATTATAGGATAAAGCATCAGTCTACATAGATTATTGTGTTGGGTCTTTTTGCTGTTAGAATCTATAACCTGGGACTACGAAAAGCTGCAGGATTTATTTTATCTATTCATACCAGCATGCTGTGAATTCTCAGGGGTTCAGGTCTGACTGACTTGTACACTCTGTAGGAAGTTTTCATTTGCCCTGATAGCAAACAGGGCATAGAGCAACAGCCTTAAGTGGAGCACAAAAATGAGTGTGTTTTTTTTTCCCTGAAAGATTATTTTTGATGGGAAAAGTGTTAAAAAGAGTGTTTTAAAAACCTGATTTTCCCCTGGTCTGGTTAGCATCCCAAAAGAGCTGTCTTTCTGAGAACATCTTTCTGTTATGTTGACCTCCTGCTGCTTGAGGTCTGCAGTCTGCATCTGGTCATAACCAGAAATACAGTCACAACAGATGGGACATGGGAACAGGAAAGGGATGGAGAAAGCCCTGAATGGCAGAGGGGAAGTTAGAAAAGACCTGAGCAAGGCCTTTCCCAAAATGTGTGGTGGTGATATTAAACCTGCTGAGTTGTTGTTCAGAAATAAGAGATTTGAAATTAGCAATCCCATCAAGTCTTTTTTGCTGGGATAGAATAAAGCAGGAACTCAGGGAGCAGTCTATGAACAAATCCAGTTCAAAAAGGCCAAAAATATAGCTAGCTGGATTCTCTTGAAGCCTAAATATAACTCTGCAGATGGTGTAGAGGAAGAAGAGCTGGTGGCTGCTTTAGACTTGGCGCAGTGGAAGGCTGTCAGTGGATGAAGTCTTCTCATCTGTAGGTATGGACAAGAGGAGCAGGATAGGGGAAAGATGGGGGATGAAATCTGAGCACCTTTGCCCATATATGCAAGCACAGAGATATAAACAATCATCTCTTTGCTTGCTAATACCTCTTCTGCTTCTACTGTGGCGGCTTTACAACAGCTGGAGTGAAGCTGAGTCACAAGAAGAGCGCAGTGAGAGTGGACAAGGATGTTGACAAGGTGGACAGTAGGCTTAGTTCTCTCTCATTTCCTTCCTTAAGTATGAGTGGTGATGCAAAATATGGAGCAGAGGCATTTTCCCATTTGCCTTCACTGCTAAAAGTGGGAAGGGAGGAAATGGAGAAGAGGAATCCACTAGAGAGACCTTACAAGTACACAGTGCATAAGGACAAATGAAAAGGGAGAAAAAGTACACTTGGGCTCGATGCAAACTTGGTTTCACTCCCAGAATCCCTTCTAGATACCAACTCCTAACTCTCTGCAATTTTGTCCCCTTGAATGGGCTTAAATCAGCATCCAAAATGGAATGAAGTATTCCAACAGAAATAAAAAAAAATATTCTTGCAATTAATCAGTGAATTTGCTACTATTTACTACCGCAGGGATTTTCCTCCACCTCCCTTTCCCCTTGTCCCCCTGCCCGCCAAATGCGTGTAATCACCAAACTTTTATCTGGACACCAAATCTGGAAAGACAGCAGAGGAAGGAGAGGAAATGACAGGAAAGAAGCCTGCTTTCTTCCTCTGTAATGGACAGACCTGTAAGATAAAATAATCAGGTAAGGGATGGGGATGTAAGGCACTGAAGATAGAATCATAGAATCATAGAATGCTTAGGGTTGGAAGGGACCTCTAGAGATCATCTAGTCCAACCCCCCTGCATACACAGGGACACCTAGAGCACGTGGCACAGGACTGCATCCAAGCGGGTTTTGAAGATCTCCAGAGAAGGAGACTCTACAATCTCTCTGGGCAGCCTGTTCCAGTGCTCTGTCACCCTCACTGTTAAGAAATTTTTCCTTAAGTTCCTATGGAATTTTTGATGTTTCAGTTTCCGGCCATTTCCTCTAGTCCTGTGAGCGTGAAGAAACACTGAAATTTCTGAGTTCCAAACATTTTGGATTTTCTTCCATATACATATATATTTATGTATATATTTTATATATATATATATATATATATATAATACAAATATGCCATACTGGTAAAACAAATATATATATTTGCCATGTTGTATTACCAGTATGGGGAATGCTCTTGAGTCGGAGAACCCTTTTCATTAAAAAATAAATCTGAAGTTCTCTGAATCCCTATGCATGCCTTCCAGTGGCCATAAAACTTTGCCTTACTGGGAGAAGTATCTCTGGAAACAATTCTAAAATGCTAGCAAATCCATCACAGGAATTCCCAAGATTCCCTCTGTTGTAATCTCATATTCCACAGAACGCACCTGTCTCATTGTACACAAGTTCCAGGACAGCTGCAAAGTCAAACTAGCAGAAATTAACTTCATGAATTCATCTTCTGCAAAAACAGGAGATGCATTCCAGATCTGAGGTTTATATCCAGAGTAAGGGCTGATTCTGACAGAAGCAAAACACATGCAAATCCTCCTTAGATCAGTTTGTATTAAGCAACTCTCCTTTGAACAGTTTTTGAAAAAAGTATCTCCAATTCTGAAGGATCTTGAGGTCTTGCTTCTTTTTCACCCCAGAGATGAAGTCTCCTGGACAAGATGAGGCTAATGAAGGAATATTCTCCTGTCACTACTCTGGCTGCACCAAGTTGGGAAGAGCCAGGGGGAGCAGAATTACACAGTCTACATGATTATTTTACCTTTATGGAGTTCAAACTAAAAACTAAATCAGGAAGGGAGATTCCTGCCCAAAATTCAGGCTGGTTGTTGTCTTTGTTTAGAGGAGGGAGAAAAAAAAATGTTCAGACCAGAACACCCTTGAAAGGTCACCCAGATCCTGAACTGACGCCAGCACTAGATGTATGTAATTATATGGGCAGACGCTGGGTTTCAGAAGCTGTAGGCTGTGCTTTGCTTCTGCCTTTTCTCTTTAGCATTGTTTGAAGATCAGTGAGATCAGCTGCCTGGTATCTATGGTATTGGGCCAGGGATACTTTATGTAATAACAAAACTTGAACAATTCTACTACTTGCAGACCAACGCTGTTGAGGGGTCAGCTCCTGTTTTTGTATCCAGATCTACCATGCTGCTAATCCTGGACCAGCTTGTGCTGTGTCTGTGTTGTATGGAGGCTCAGAGCCAAAGTGAGAACAGCAAATCCAAGTTTGCTCAATATAGACATGGGTGAGGTGCCATATCTGTGTCTATGGTACTGTTTAACCACCACATTGGTAGTCTACTCCTGGGTAGTAGAAGGGTGACTTTCATGTGAGCTTGGGGAAATATATATGAAAGGTGATTGTACAGATGGTTTGGGAAAGAGAAGTTATTGACAGTAATTTCACTCTGGAAAAAATCTTTTGAATAAATCAACTAATTCTCTTTTTCTTCTTTTGTAGATCACCAGGTTAAAAATCGACAGAAATCCTTTTGCTAAAGGGTTCAGAGACTCTGGGAGAAACAGGTAACAGAAGTTTGTTTGTGTTTCCTTAAGATCCATTCTTTCTTTCCCCCGCTGAGCAAACTGAGGCCCAGGAAGGCGTTTTACAATATTAATTCAGTCTTACAGGAGAAGGTAGTTGTATACCAGTTCTTAGAGGGATGTTTGCCTAAAAGATTCATAGTGTAATTGTGGCTTCATTAGAAAATAATTTTCTGGTTAACCATCTAGCCATCTAACCATCTAACCTAATTGCTTTCCAGAAATCTCCTCCAGTACTTCTTTACCATCTGCCTGTAGCATTGGTCCTGCAATTGAGAGAGGATTTTAGGTATTCTTAGATAAGATGTCAGTAAAGATAGCTTTTCACTTTCCCGTTATTTGACGCTATTTCCAAGTAACAACTGTACTTTTCCTGTTGTAGTATTAATTTCCTGTTCATGTCCATGTCAATATTTCTTTCATTATCACTGCTTTCAAGGTATTTTCTTCTGTATGCATCATAGTTGGTATTTGCTGACTATGTAACAAATTTCTTTATGCTCATTTCCATTATTTCTGATTCCTCTGAAGTTTTCCACTTGCTATTTAAAATATAATCAATTTTTTGAAACATCTGTGAAATTGTTAATAAACAATTTTGGTATTGTGTTATATTGATATGGTGATATTCAAGGGATCAGGTAAAATAAGTTAATTTGTTGTAAAGATACTGTAAAGTTTCACTTCCTCTCACTCCTCCTCCTCCCAGAAGATTTGTGTTAGTGAAATGAAAAAACAGAAAACATTTTTATAAAGATGGATGAAAAATGGGAGACTGAAGATCAGGCATCAGACAAATATGTCACAGGCTAATAATCTGCAAAACAATAAAAATTGTAAGAATGGAAAATGAGACTTTTCTGCTTATAATATGTAGAGCTGGCTGGAAGGCAGCTTTTTCTTTAAATTTCTGCAGGAAATAAAAAATCTTGATGCTCCAATGGGTCTATACATTAAGAGGAAAAATGAGTTTTTCTTAGGTTTCCAAGGTAAAAGTACAAAGATTTTCTAGTTTAGAATCTTCAGTTTTTCTCCAGTAATATCAAATTGTTTCACTTTGTGTGGTTTAATTTTGTTAGGATTTTAATGAAAAAATAAAATAGAATTCATGATTTATTATTTAAAATATTTCCATTTTAATAACACACTATCTAAACAAGAACTTTCAATAAAAAATGCATTATAAGATGATATTATAGTGTTATCAAAAAGAAATAAGAAAGTCCTAATAACATTTTCAACTTTTCTTGCAATCTGTGATGCCAGTAGAGTGTAAAACAACTCTAAGGATTTCAATTTTGCAAATAATATGGATATCCTTTTAAATTAACATGACAAAAATAATTATAGAATTGGGTGTAGATGAATACATTATAAGAATAATGGGGTAGTAAAGCCTACCCTTCAGGGGTTCAGGGCAGAATTCAGACTATGTGCACAACCTTCCTTTGCTATCCCCATAGGTATTATAATTCAATCTATAATTACTTGTACCAGGACCACTACCTCATTCATGTTTTGACAGAGGAAATGTTTAGTGAAAGGCAAATCTTCAGTGTTTCCCATCAACTGCGTAAAGCTATGATGTCACTTGCAATCAAGAGGATCTTGCTAATCTGGGTGATTTAGTAGGTCAGCTACTCTGTTCTCATCTCTTTTAGTGTAGCTAAAAGATGTTTACCATCCTTATTGAATTCCAGCCTTGAGCATTAGTTCTAAAATTTGAGGCATATGAAACTTTTACCCTGCTCTGTTTTCCTAAGGTGGGAAGTCATATGTCTCATGTACACAAGTTTCTTATATACACTGAGTACTTTGTACTCAGTGATACAGCTGCAGTGGAGGCTGGGCTCAGAAAGAGAGGTTGATGCATTTCCAGATACATGGTGGGCTAGATTAATGTGGAAGGCATTAATAAAGCTTTAGTCCAGTGAACCTGGATAGTTTCCTGGAAAGGCTGAGAATTACTGATCTTTGTAGCTCATTGATTTAAGAAAGAGCAGGAAATTGCAACATGGCTGCAGCTGTGGGGAGAGCTCAGTAGGGCTCTCTGCTGATGTAAAGAGGAATTAAAATCTTTAAAGTATTACACATCAAAGAGAGCAGCCCGAAGCTTTAGGAAGAAAAAACAGGGAAAGGTATTTGCAAGCATGTATAGTGGTCAGGTATCTGCCTCACAGGCAGGGGTCTGGCTAAGGTTACACAACTAGCTGGGGACACCCCCTGTAATGCTTTGCTGGTCCTGTTGATAAAGACACATACATTGCTGTGCACAAGCACATATGGGAGCACACATCCTCACAACTCATCAGCTACATAGCATTGGACTGTCGCTGGAGAACATCCCACTGGCAATGTAGGCCTCTCTTAAAAAGAAACAAGATATTTTGAAAAAGGGGCTGTTTGTAATGCAGGGAAGTATAGTATCTCTCCAAAGATTTTTCTTTTTTTTTTTATGATGTCTTAAATTAAACAGCAAAACAGTAAGGGCCACAGAATGATGTCTGAGACTGCTTCAGGAGACAGTAACCTATGAGATTGGTATGCTGATCTTAAGCTATCCCTGTCTTAAATTTTCCAACAAAGGATGCACACAATGGGATGGTGGCAAGGCAGTGGAAAAAGCAGAATATGAAGGGAGAAGAGGAAGTGTTGAGCTACTTGTTCCTTAAGCTCTTTCTCCAAGACATTTCCTTTCTTGCTTCTGTTGAGGCTTTTCAGTGAAAAAGAGATTTTCTTATTCTCATTTCTTATTCTGTTATTGCTTTGTTTTTTCTGCCTGCTGCTGAAATTATGGGGCTGACGTGTTTTCAGAAATAGTCTCCATTTTAAACATTTGCTCTCCATCAATTCACAGCCTCCCCACACATTTCTTATGGATGTGGTCTGCCTTCAGTAGTACCAGAGAATGCTAAAAAGCCTGCTGCTTTGGGGACATATGTATCTATCTGTAGCTATCTGAGGAAGAGGTCTTTTCATGGATCCCCTCATGCCTCCTTCAGCTGTTTGCGTAGGCTATGCTGGAAGAAGAAGGAACAAAATGTTTCACAGGAAACAATACATATAGCCCCACAACTAAATACTCTTTTGGAGCCCTTGGGCAATTATAATCTATGTTCAACAATCTAGACATCAGTTTTAACCGATAAGGCCTGGACTTGATACCCTCTTTTATTTGACATACACTGTACCTGATTTTAGGGAAGTCATTTGGTCCCTCTTTGCTTCAGTCTTCCTTATGTAAAACAGGAGAACTTGTCCTGTCTCACAAGGGTGGCGAAGGGATATCAGGTATGATTTGCTTGCTTTCCAGAACTTCAGGAGATTAAGAACTACAGTTTTGGCTTTCATTTAAAAGGTTCTTTGACGTACAGAGACCAGCTAGTGAAATGTTTGCGTAGTGAGTGTGAAGGGACAGTGCTGTGGAGGCTGTTTTGAGAGTCTGAGTAAAGTTCATTTGACAGCGGGATGCTCAAGGGAACTCCTTATCCAGGAGGAAGGTGGAAGGGACAAGAGTCTGAAAACACAGCAGGATGGTGGAAGAAAAAAAACTAAACTGGAGGCAGGCAACAGCACTCTCCTTTCAAATGTAGGCGGCTGAGGTGAATAAAAGTTGTTTGTGTTGGAAATGCTCTTAGGCCTTTTGTCTTGGGTAAGAGAGCCAGAGGAGTGCTTGGAGCCAACAGTTCGGTTTCCTCAGTGAACGATGAAAGGATGATCTGAAGCAACACAGAAGGAATGGCAGGGTCAGCCATATGGAATGGATTATGGAGGTGCACAGATAGCTTGTACATCTTTTTTCATTTTTCAGAAAATTGAACTGCTTTATTTGTTGCCTATTATTAAAACTTTACAGGACTAAAAATAAAGAAAAAAATGAATGGAAAAGAGTGAATTTTGGACACCTTTTAAAGGACTTACCTTATTAAAGCTGGCAGTGAGTCCTCTTCTGATGGGCTTCCTTCATAAAGATGGTGTGAGAGGGGAGGGTTTATAGCTGAATAGACAGTTTGGAGCCAAGTTTTCATTGCAGTTCTGTGTAAGAGAAAGTAGAATATCCACATGGATACTATCTAGTATCCGTGTATCCACATATCAAAGCATTCACATGGATACTATCTAGTACACTTGGTACCAGCACCTCTCACCAAAGCCCTGAAGAAGGTGAAGTTGCTGAATTTTCAGAAATGTTGATTTTTTTTAAAATCAGCATTTACTGCTACTTCTAGCTGTCTCTTCATTGGCAAACTGGGGTTTCTTTACCTTTAGAAACTGGTACACATATGTACCTCATATCCAGGGTTTCTGCAGATTAAGAGAGCACTGTCTTTACATCCTGTGATGGAGGTCTGTGATGTAACTCAGAATACTTTGACATTAAACTCATTTGATAACCTGTTCTGAGAGAAAAGGTTATTAGAGTTTCCAGTGATGGATTTTCTTCATTTTTCCCCCATTTTCTTATAAAAATAATAACAGCTCACAAACAGAAGAAGATATACTTGGAAGAGAGACTAGGGGGAGATATCTTGGGAGAGACAGAGTTGCAAAGTCAGTCATTCAAGGTTGGTGTGCATTCTGACCCAAATTGTTTTTAGCCTGGTTGCACATTCTTTTTTTTTTTTCTGCAAAACTCCATGGACTGGGTGGTCAATGTTGAGCAGGTTAATGTATGAGGCAGCTGTCTCTAACACCTTGTCTTATGCATGGAAGAATTTGAAAATTCTGTATGGATGTGTTCTGTTTAGATACTATTTCAAAAACACATGCAATGTTTAGTCTGCATAGAGCAAAAAATCCAAGGGGAAAAAAAATCTGTGTGTAGAGTGCTTTTACATGCATGCTCAAGATGTGTGGTTCTCTGCACACCTGTTGAGTAGAAAAGGACTCTGAACTGGGACAGGGAGAAGAAAGAGATGGCTGTAGGCCAAATCTGCAGTTTGGCAGCCAATCTTCAGATACTTGTGCCTGCAGGCTGCCCAGAGTATTACACGTCAGTGTTTTCAATTTAGTGAAAACAAAACTTTGCTGCCAGTAGTTGCAGTACAGGGGAAGGCCAGAAGCCACCTCCACAGTCCAGTGGCTGTTCTCCCCTTTCATTTGCTCCACTGAAGGCACATGAGCTGCTGCAGCAGCAGAAGTGAGACTCTGGTGTTCTCCCTTCCTTCTCTGGCATAAAATATAACCAGTAATATAATGGCACTTCATTTTACAGGCTGTTGTGGTATGCTCAGCACTGTCATTTACTTTATTGTTGTCTTTATTTTCTCTCATTTTTCCCATTTTTCTTTTAGAAATACAAATTACACAGTACTTGCCAGAACTGTATTGATATAGGGAATATTTGTGAGCTCAGAGCTAGAAAGTGAATTGTGAGTCAAGAAGAGCTGTGCTAGAGGCAGGCTCCTGGCAGAGGGAGTGATAATGGCTTTAACCTGTTTTAATGTTCCCTGAGCCATAGCTGGTTATGGATTGGATTTTACTGGAATGGGATAATGAACTGAACTCAGACACATGCACAGAGTGGGGTTATATGCATAGGGGTCTCAGGGATATTGGCTCAGCCAGACTCTATTTAAATGCTGGTTGTAGTGAGCTGGTGTCCTCCTTCCTTGCGGCAAATGTAAAACAACTAGACTAACACAGCTGGAACTGTCAGTTTGCATTTCTTTATATCAAGAATTTACTTGGTTTTAATTGACAAAGTAGGATCTTCCATCAATAGGTCTTGTTATATTGACTTGCTCAGGGCAATTTTATGTTCCCAGGAAGTCATCACACAGTGTTTGAAGTAGAAATTGTTCCTTGAAACTGTGAAAGGTACTGTTCTCTCCCTAAGTTTGAAAAGCAGGTGGAGCAGCACATGTGCGGTTTTCTTGGCCTGGAAGTAGAGGAAATCCTGGGGGTAGTCCACAAGATGTCCCTGCACAAAGACTCTGGCTTAGCAAATGGGTTCATGTTCTATGTTGCCATGCTGCCTCTGAGGTTCAGGAGCTGGCAAAGGCCACCATATTAACCAAATAGTTTTGTTGTAATATACTCAGAGCTAGAGTGAGACTGCTATGCAGAGATGTCTTCTGTTTCCACTTCTAACAGCTTAGCAGCTAATAAACACCATGCAGCAACCTCTCTTCTAAACCTCCTCTTAAAATACAAAGTTTAGTTTGCCAACCCCAATGTATTTAAAGTATCTGAGCTTCCGGGGAGACTTTAGAAAGTTAACTGTGTGAGTGGAGGCACGTGCAGCAAGGTATTTTCAGAAGCAAAAGTCAGCTCCAGTATCAGAACAACATTTGATGAGAGTCTCTGGGGACACTAGAGCCATTTGCATTGAAAGGGGATATGTTCTCACATTTAATAAAACACCTCTAGTTGTGGTCATTCAGAGCAAGGAGTATATCCTGCTGCTGGAAAAGAGGCAGGGATAGGCAAGGCAGTCTACAGAGAAGAATCTTTCCTGTGTTAAAAATCAGGATGATTGTCCCATAAAGAACATTAACTTATTCTGAGAGTGAACCTACATATGCACTGAGCTTGCAAAGTTAGAGATTTCAAGATCTAATGGACTGTGGTGAAAATAAAAATAAAGCTGAGACCCAAGCCCTTTCAGAGGAAAAGTTAATTTCACTTGATTTTTGCTCTTTTTCTTTGGTATTGTCTTTGCAGTGAGTTAGAGACGCAAAGCAGAGATGCTCCCGATCTCTTTACAAAAAGCCTCTTAGCATATTCTCAGTCAAAATTGAGAAATGGATAGCACTCAATTGCACTTTAGAACAGTATGTGAAATTGGATGGTGACAGTGAAAGACAATTTACAAAAATTCTCCCTCCAAATTTCTAAGTGACATCTCAACCCTCCCTTGTTTGTATGACAACTTGCATTCATAAAGTGTGTAAGACATTTCTGTGGTAAAGTATGCCTCGAGTAACTGACTGTCAACTATTCCCTGCAAAGCAGATGAAAACCCTTCTTTGCAAAGAAAAAGGGTGGGGAGAAACACAGGCATGGAAATAACATTAGGAACTGTTAAAATCCTGGACCGGAGAAATTCCATTTTATTCTACTGGCCAACACCTGTGTGGGAAGGCTTGCTTGAGGAATTCACAGATATCAAGGTGACCTTTCAGTGGCCACTAGCAGTCTGCCAAATAAGGTCAAAGCACTCTCTCCCTGATGTGGGTATGTTTGCTGACATTCTTACTGTCAGCAAACAGTCTTACTGTACAAAATGTCTTACTGACATTCTTCTGTCTTTGCTTTATTTTTGTCCCACAGAACAGGACTGGAGGCTATCATGGAGACCTATGCATTCTGGAGGCCTCCTGTGCGCACTCTCACCTTCGAAGACTTCACTACCATGCAGAAACAGCAAGGTGAGCTTACCAAAAAGCATATAAAGGAATAAAAAAGAATTGTGCAAAGAACAAAAGTGTGTGACAGCAGAAATACTTTGGCAACTTGACTGGGTCGCACGCCTTATGTTTTGGACTGCAATGGAAGGACATAGAGCAGAGAAGACAACAACTGGGAAATGTTAGCTAGCTCATATCTTATGAGGTTCAGCACAGCCACTTAACCTCACTAGTACCTTTATAGTATATAAGAGATAGAATGAAGAGAAGGGAGGAGCCATAGTGTTGGGAGAACCCATCAAGATCACAGAGACTGAGGAAATGTTCCAGTATGTTAATGGTTTACCAGCAACAGATTACCATTTGTGTGGCTACACAAGTGGATGGAAGGAATGTCCTTTGAAAGCATTGCAAGGCCAGGAATACACCTTGTGTGTTTCCCATGCAATCACACTGCCTCCTCCTCAAAACCCTGTGGTCCTGCTTGGAGATATTCTCTATTAATATAAGACTGAATGGAACTGTTGGATAGGCCAAGTCTTTGTTCATACTGTGTCTCGCCATAGCTCCTGCCCCATACTGACCCATACTGGAGCTTTCACCTGCAGCTTCAGTAGGAAACAATAATTTTTTTCTAAACTGGACATCCCCATTCACTTCATTTGCAGCTATTCCTAGTTAAAAGCAATTATCACAGAGAATGTCATTGCAACTTAGTTCTGTTTTAATTAAGACAGAAATGCAAGAAAAGAAACAAAACAAAACTACCTTCAAATGTGATGCTTGTGAAGTTAAACAATCAAAAAAGTGAATGTATCTCTGTGGAGCAGACCACTTTTTCTAGTCTTTCCAAATTGAGCTTGACTTCAACCCAAAACTCTCATCCAAACCTTGAGTCCACCTGGGAATTATGTGATTTGCAATTTAAGAGTGTATGAGAATACTGGGGAGCAGTAGGCATAGCGGCTGCTTGCTGCCAAAGCAGAATCAGAAGGGGAGCAAATGAAGGACACTGTTCTGACCATCCATTATCCACAGCTTCCTCATGCTACGGCTCAAAACCCAGGTAACCCACTAATCTGTTTTTCTCAAGGCACAGTGCCAAAGGAAAAAGGACCACAATTTGTCAGCTCTGTCAAACTCCTTGTGCATGTTCTTTACATGCTCATACAACACTTGTTAAACAGCACAGTCCAGAAGATGCTTTATATGAACTTGGAGGCATGTGTTCAACAACAGTTGTGGTCAGGCATGTGGTCAAAGATGGGTTAAAGCAGGGATTCCAAAACATTTTCATCACTTGTCTAAATAGAAACATAACAGCTTCTGCTCCTGGTCATGATCGCTAAAGCAACCTCCCTCCTCTGATGACTGGCTGGACCTGCTTACCTCCTATTCAGGCTTGCACATCTCCCCTCCCCTCCCATTGGTTATCAGATAACATCCTAGTGACAACTCCAGCAATTGCTTACATGGTAAGGTAATATTAGGAAAGGAAAATATTTAATGTATTTTTAGCCTGTTTTAATATAGTTTGGCAGCTGAAAAACCAGGAAGCAAGCCAGTACTCTGTGATCAGCCAGCTCTGTACAGACCAACATCACTGTACTGTAGACCAAAAAACTTAGGCAGGCCTTAACTAAAGTTGTGTCTACAGGCCAGGCTCAAAAATTAATGACTTGCTACGGAACCACTTCTGCCTAACTCTGCATCAAGCCATGCAAACCAGCATCAAAACAAGGAATCAAAAAGACACCATCTATCCTAGTGCTCACCTTTCCTCTGAGCTCACCTAACCTCTGTGTTACTGGCACAAAGACTAAAAAATGCTGAAGTGGCTTTAAGCCGCATCTGATTCTTCTTCCCAATCTTAACATGGTCAGGATATAGAGTGTCCATAGCTCTTCACTTCCTTGCTTTTGAGTATGTAAACTGCATGATTACAGTGACAGGTGAGTAAATCACTTTCATTTAATAACTGGCTGCAGCCCCATTATTGTCCCTCAGAACCTTAGCCAGTCACTTTATATAAAGGCCTGGTCTGGGATCCCACTCTGCTCCCCTACCCTGAGCTTCAGTGCTCCAAGCTGCATACCATTACCTCATACACTCACATATTGGTGAGTTGCAGGTGAGTATTATTTTAATAAACAGGCACTTTAATCACGTAATATGCTGTTGTCTCCAGAGGCAGGTGAATATGCAGCATCACTGAATAAGTAGTGGAGTGACTGCAAGTTTTATTCCTTGAATTGCTAGTTATGCACAATATGTATTTTGTTCAGGGTGAAGCTCTTTGTGACTGCCACTGAAATGAGCACTTTTAGCTAAGCTATAGATATAAGGCAAACCAACTGCTAGATAGTCCAACTCCAGTGCTACAAGGCTGCCTCTGGGAAAGTATTTTGTGGCTCCAGGGGAACTGCTGAAATGTGTGGATTATTCTTTTTGGCTTCTCATGTGTGCTGTGACTCTACTTGAAACCTAGCTGTGTCCACTGCAATTCAAGAGGAGGGAACACTTACTGCAGAGGATCAAGATGAGAGCAGTAAAAATGGTCACATGCCTAGGAAGCAACATTTTCCATGAGAAGTCATGGCTCTGGTGCTTTTCAGCCTGAAGCGGAAGCAGGGTGGGCATGCTATTGCTGGAATAAATTCCTGTAGGACAGGAAGTAATGGGCTCCAGTTACATGAAGTCTAGAAAAGTGCTGGAACAGTTTCCCCGTTGAGATTGAGGAATTCAACCCTGATTTTGTAGTGATGAGTCCACCCTTTCTACCCTTTGTGGAAGAAAAAGATGATGCCTTCTGGGACAAAAACTCAGGACTGTAACAGTGTAAATATGGTACCATGTTTCTTTCCAAAGGATTTCTACAGATTTTTTTTTAGGGTTTTGCTATGGATTCTTAGCTTTTCTTTTGCCATTTTGTGTGGGTGTGTGTGAAATAGAAGTGTCTTCTGCCTTTTCCAAAAGAGTTTTGTCAAACAATTCTAATTAAATTATTGTATTAGATTACAGATTTGACTGAGAGAAGTATCTCTACAGGTGTGACAGTCTTTGGGAGAACATTTAACTTGTTGCCACATGATGCCACATACCATTCTGATGAAGAAGCTATTAGTATGAAATAAGAAATGAGTAGCAGACTAATCTCAAAGCCAATAGTAAATGTGAAATCACATCAATCACAAAATCATAGTGGGGACTGTTCCAGTGGTGATCTTCAGAGACTGGTTCCAGGTTTAACTGATCCAGAAAGGAGAAAAAGGTGCACTTGATAAAAAATCGAAATCACATAATGACTGACAGCATGGACAGCAAAGGTGAGGACAAGGGCACAAAGAACAGGAAAGCTTGCTTGGTAACCTGTATTCATTCAAACAAAGTGTGGCTTTTAATTCAGCCAAATACAATATCACATATCTAGGAATAAAATATAGGACATACATACCCACAGAGTGAGGTTCTGCAATCTGGAAAGCATTGGCACTGATAGGGAATTGGAGGTCAGAGTAGGTAAGTCACTGCACATGCAAGTGTGTACAGCTGTGATAAAAAGAAACATGCAGTCTTTGATGTAGAAAAAGGAATAGTGAGAAACACTGGGGAGACAATTTCCTTACCTATGAACTGATATTATTATATGGTCTTCCACTGTACACATTTTTAAAGGGTGCAAGGAAATTGGAGAAGAATTCATAAGGAAAAAAGAAAAAAATGTTGGCTGGAGAAGATTCCTGGGAATGAGAGTTCAGTTTGCATTGTTTATCAAAAAGAAAATCAAGAGTTATGTTGATCAGATCCCCTCTCCATCTTCTCTAGCCTAATCAGGCCTAGTCTTTCCTCCTAAGAGAGATGCTCCAATCCCTTAATCATCTTTGTCACTCTGCACAGGACCCTCTCTAGAAGCTGCACATCCCTCTTGTACTGGGGAGCCAGAACTGCACACAATACTCCAGATGTCGCCTCATCATTGCTGAGGAGAGGGCAGGATCCCCTCCCTCATCCTGCTAGCAACACCTCCAAATGCAGGCCAGGATCCCACTGGCCTTCCTGGCCACAAGGACACACTGCTGCCTCAGGGTTAACTTGTTGTCAGCCAGGACTCCCAAATCCTTCTCCATGGAGCTGCTTTCCAGCAGGTCAACCCCTAATCTGTGCTGGTGCCTGGGGTTATTCCTCTGCAGGTGCAGGAGCCTGCACTTGTCCTTGAACCTCATGAGGTTCCTCTCTGCCCAACTTTCCAACCTGTCTAGGTCCCTCTGAATGGCACAGCCCTCTAGAGTGTTGGCCACTCCACCCAGTTTGGTATGATCTGCAAAGTTGCTCAGGGTGCACTCTGTCCCTCGTCCAAATCATTGATAAACAAGTTGAACAGCACTGGGCCCAAGTACTGATCCCTGGCGGACACCACTGGCCACAGGCCTCCAACTAGCCTCGGTCCCATTTATCATGACCCTCTGATCTCTGCCATCCAACAGATAAGGAGAACATAAGTTTCCCATACAGTTTCTTTACATAGTCAGTTGTTCTTCAGGTTTTGTGCCCCTGTTCTGAGCTTCTCCATGGGTAGTGCTAATCTTTCCAGTTTCTCTTCAAATGGGAGGGTTTCCAGGTCCTTAATCGCTTCTTAAAAACAAGTCTTCACGGAGTATTCCAGATGCAGACACATGATACAATTATTTAAAGGTATTATATTTTTTTTCCACACTATCCTTTCTTCCATTTGACATGAATCATAGTGTTTTGTTCATTTTTTGGCCCAACCTGTCTTTTGAGTAAGGGCCACAGTGAAACACAGAATCCATATTTGAAGCACTGGATGCAACTGTTTCATATAAAGCCTAAGTGAGTTTCTAATTGACATAGTAAAGGACTTCAGGTGACCCACAAATAGATAAGTGTGATATCACAATGAGCCACACAAATGGCTGATGTGACTGACATCAGTGGTCCACAAACTTTATTTTCACTTCTCTCTGCTGAACTATATTGCATCAGTAAACTGATGTAGGTCT